GCTGACCGTTCATATTGACTGATTAATTAGAATAACTTGTAGGGTGCTTGTTGTACAGAAAAACAGAGTCTTGAAAATAATCCTCATAGTGTCTGACAAAGTAGGTTGTTGCCTATAAAAACTCATGCTTCTCTGAACCAGTTAGTCTCAAAGGTGTCTCTCTGCTTTTTGCCTGATTTCAAACTAAAACAGCTAACCACCTTTGTACAGATTACAGTCACTGAGAAGTTAGGGTTTTCCAGCTTCATGTTTAAGTGTCAAGGACAGTGAAAGCAGCAGATGTTTATGCTCCAATAGTTACAGGACAGTTTGATCATAGTAGCATTATTTTTTTTAAAAACAAAACTTGCGAAGGAACAACCTAAACCCTGTTGCATCATAGCCTGTGCATTGCCAGGGCTGCAAACCCAAGACAATTTTTTTTTTTTTACTGATAATCTGCAGACTACTGACAACTAATTATTTTTTACTGACATTTGTTTCTACTGATGTATGTTTTACATAATGTAAACATAGCCCTTCTTCTAGGGTTTGGAAGAGGGGTGGTTCACTTTTTAGGGTTTAAGAACAACAGTAGTAAAAAAAAAAAAAAAGTCCCTAGGTTGGCAATACTGTTTCACTGGATTCCTAGTAGAGGTGCACCAATACACTGGTCAGACATCAGATCAGCACTGATTATGAAGAAAATAGACTGTATCGGAAATTGGCTTTTTTTGCCTGATGTGGCCAATAATTTGGCCAATAAATGCCCTGTGCATGCGTGCAGCTGCAGTGCAGCATGTAGGTGGTGAGGAGCACAGCCTGGCAGCTTGGAGAGCTGTGTCCAGCTGGTAAGTGTGTTGTGGAGGTGGGGACAGATTGAGCCCCTGTGGTGAGGTAGGGAGTGGGGCTGGGGCAGGCTCTGCTCAGCCAGGGCAGGGTGCAGGATGGAGCCACGGCTTGTTGGATCGGCGCCGCCCATGCCGCTGCGCACATCCCGGGAAAGTATGGGGGCCATGTGCCCCCTAGATCTGTGCAGGGGTGGGCAGGCTGCTGCTGCAGGCTGGGGCCAGGGTTTCGCTGAGCTCTTCCCAGCGGAGGCAGGGGCAGGCCACCCTGCACAGATTCAGGGACACGTGCCCCCCCACACTCTTGCAGGGTGGGAGCTGCCCCCCTCCCAGTGGGCACCAGGACGAGCCACAGCTCCATCCTGCACCCTGCCCCGCCCTGCCCTGCCCCACCCTAGCTGAGCAGTGTCTACCCCAGGCCCAGCCCCACTCCCTCACCGCAGGGGCCTCAATCTGCACCCTCCCACCGCGACACCTTCCCTCCTTCCTCCCTTTCCACCACAACAGACTTATCAGCTGGACTGCGTATTGGAAATCAGATTGGTATCGGCCAATACGCTTCCTTAAAAATCAGCTATCGGTATCGGCCCCAAAAAATCTCTGTTGCTGCACTCCTGATTCCTAGCTTTACACCATGCTGTCCTACCCCAGGGATCACCTGTATACCCCGATTCCCCTGACTGCATGCCGCACTGTGCTGTCTTCCTAATCCCCCCCCCTTGCTTTACTCCTCCTGGCCTTGCTCTCCCACCCCCTCACCTCCTTGTCATGCCAGGGACCCTCAGAGCAAGACTTATGTCTGCCTACCTGCAGCAGGGTTACAGGCAGGGACACAAGCAAAAGTACAAGCAGTACATGGCTGATAGGGAAGGGACTATGGGCTACAAAGCCCTGAGAGAAAGCTTCCTATAGGGTGCTGCACTCCTGCTGAGATGCCAGGTGCCACTACTGTGCCCTGTCTCTCCTTCAAGGCTTTCCTCTGACAAGGAGTCTTCATTGTTTTTATGGAGGGCTAAATTTCTTTCTCTCTTTCACAGACTTTGCAGACAGGCATTTTTAGTTTTCCTTTTTATGATCTGTCTGTAAATTTAATGAAAGTTGGCACCCCTGGTATATACCCTCCTAACCGAGGGCTTTTTCCAAGGTCTGCTGTAATCATAGAAAGACTCCTGCCCACTTCAGTAGCTTTTGGATCATGTCCTTAATAAGTGAGTGAACCAGAGCATCTTCTGAATCTGCTCCCAGTAAACCTTTATCTTCCTTCCTGGCAGACTTCAGCTTTGCCTGCAATACACATACGAATAGGTATAAAATTGTTAGACACAGCTGCTTTGCAAGGGTTGAGCAAGGTTGTATGGCTACTTAGGGACTGAGTGGCTTAGATCACTTATAAAACTTTTTACAAAAACACAAAAGGGCTACATTGTTAACTCCACATTTTACACCCCTGTGGACACAGTGACTAGTTTACATGGAATCTTTTGGCCTGGCTGTTTTTTATATATATGTTTATTGGACTGAATTTTTTTTATTTTACTAATTCTATATGTGGTTATGAACTTTGTGATACCCTGAGCACCAGTTGTTGATGAACACAAATACCCAGTGAGAGAGGGAGAGAGCACAGTACCATACAAGAAACTTTTTGAGTGGTTGGCTCTTTTATTGAAAAAATGTTTCTCCTTCCCTCTACCCCACTTGTAGAAAGAGCCTGCAAAAAGTCCATTGTCATTATTTGCAATTGTAGCTTTGTGTCACCACATAGTTTTACATTATTAAATTACCTTTTTTATGCCTACAAATGCTTCTGTGCACATACTTGAATAGTCATGGATATATCTTTTTAATGGTCTCTTCGAAAATTTGGTCTCAAATATACCACTCCCCAGATGCATTTTCCTTGAAGTTTTAAACTTCATACGGGGCACATCTACACAAGATGCTATGTTGCCGTAGCAATTAACTTTGTCACCATAGCTCATTGCTACGGTGACATAGCATTGGCGGGCATGAGCTGAGATGCTGCTGGTACTGCGCAATAGCAACAAGCTGCTGTGCAGTAGCTCATTGCTACCGTGCAGTAGGGTTGGACACCTACCTGTGCGGTGTTGGGACTGTGCAGTAATGGCAGTTATTGTGTGTAGTCATTCAGTACTTGCTAAAGCCCGAACTAAATGACTGCACAGTAAGAACTGTGCAGTTGGGTGCTTGTGTAGATGTGCCACAGAGAGGCAAATGATATTTCATTCTTTAGACTTATGTCAAAATTCCTGGTCCCATCCTGTACTTTCAGTTTAAGGGGTTCACAACTGTTGCATTTAATACTAAATTTAAAACACATTAGGATGTCCTGTCTGGAATTTGCTTCCACGTGAGTGTGTGTGTCTTCGTGTGTGTATTTTTATATATATATATATATAATATATTCCTCTTTTAACATTACTAGCCCTTTGCCTCTTGAGAGCAGCTTCTGTCAAAGCTTCCTTGCAAACATTTGTGAGAGAAATTTTCCTTCATTCTCCATGTGGGAAAATAGAGGTTAAGCAACTTGGCAGAGTTGCACAGTTAGTTATTATAGATATAAGGATACAACTGAAATTTTTGAGCTCTTGCTTCTGTGCTTTAACCATGAGAGACATCATAAAGCTTATTATGATATGCTGCTTAGCTATCTCAAAGTTATGACGGATAACATAGGCTCATTCTGGCAAGTGTAGCGGGAGTTGGAGTTTGTACTACTTGTGGATCTGCAGATGTGGTATTTTCCCTGTATTCCTAACCTAAAATGCTCCCTTATTTTCCTGATTGAACTCCCCTGAATGAGCCAGTTAGGTACTATTCAAAGCCAAAATGAGATGACTTGTTTTCACCCATCTTTTGCTGTTTCCCTTTATAGGCGTTTTTTAAACAAAACCTCTGATGAGGACTCTGCCTCAGAGAGGCCTTCTATGCTGGAGGGTGTTACCTCTGACCCTGTCACCCTGCGCCGCAGAACATTAGCTGCTGCAGCCGAACGGAGACTTCAGATGCAACAGAATTCATAGCCGTCCCTGCCTCTTCCTCCTTCTCGTGAGCAACGTTTAAAGAAAAAAAAAATATCCTGTGCTCTTACCAGCAGGACGTGTCTCTTCAAAGCTCAGCTAGCTGTGCTGATGAGCGAGCTGGCTGCCTCTCTGCTGTATAAAGCATGTGGTCTTAATAGTGTTTGGACAGCTGACAAATTAACCTTTTTTTGTAATCTTTTCTATGTGACATTTATCCCCCCGCGACAAGCAAATGCAGTTTCTAAACCACAGGCATGATACCTGGTGCTAGCATGAGGTGTAGGCCAACTGCATGGCAGAGGCAGGGGAAAGACTACATATTCTAAATTAACAGCTGTTTGAGAATGCTGGCATGTTTACCTTGATGTCATCCACAGGGAGTATTACAGGAGGGAAAAGTGTTGAGATTTGCAATGAATTCCCTAGTAGGTCAGCAGGCATCCACTGCCAAGTTACTGCTCTTATCAAGAATGAGTTAAAAGTATTACCTAAGACTGCTTGCAGCCTGGCAGAAAGAAGTGATAGCCTTAGATGCTGGAAGTCAGGAGCAGTGCAGTCTTCTAGCATGTTGCTGGCAATTTAGTTCATAGGCTGGATTGATTAGCTACATAACTTAAATATAACCTTGGGTTGTGTAGTGAGGCATTGATCACTTGTGTTATCCCTGTATAAGTTAGTTTTACCCTTTCTGGGCTTCTTTGCACTAAACTAACTTCTGGCTCTGCTCACTCTCCAGGGCTGCGTTATTTTTATGCATTTCATTGCTAGCAACAGAAATGGGACTGATGAGAAAAGTATGAAAAAGAGGCATGAAGCAAATAATTCAGTGTTACAATATGCCAATGGAACAGAGTTGAAAACCAATGAGCTTGGTGACATGCAGAGAAGGGTCTGTACATGGATGGATGGATGAGACTGCACTGAAGAGACTAGAGATAGTTGTGGTGTCTTGCTTTTTATTTTTTAACCCCACATTAGATAGTAATACATACATTAGCTTAACCAGACGTACAGAGATGAGAAAAATCAAGGCAGCTGGACCGTAGGGGATGTAAACACAGTGAATCTAACATTTCCTTTAATTTTTTTAAAGAACTTTTGACATGAGACACATTTGGTACCTAGGTCGCATAGCTGAGTTTTACATGACAGTGGCTTAATTTTTAAATGTTTGGGGAGTGAGTTCTAGTATCACTGTCTTTCAGAAGGCACCAAGTATTATCTACAATTACTGGTAACTTTTTTTTTTTTTTTACTGCTGGTTTTTAGGACATTTAAGGGTGAATTTAATGAAAGGATGAATCATATAAATGCTTAGGTGAAGATAATTTATTTCAAGAAATCTCTTTGGAAAGCCTTACCTTGCAATCCTATTAGTAAACTTTAAAGACTTATATTTTTTGTGATTTGGTTTTGCTCAGAGCACAGATGTTTGTTTTTATTGTTTAAAAAATAAAAAAATAAACTCTTGATCAGTGTTGGAAATTGTTTTGATACTTCCTTAATGCAGCTTTCCTTGTTTCTAGAACATCACTGTTAGCGATTTCCTTAGTCTTTAGAGCTGGTAGTGCTTAAAGTGGGGCAACTCTTACTCTGCTAAAAAGAAAGGGAAAATATTTGCCAAACTCTCAAGAGATTGGCTGTGCAGTAGCTTTTGGAGGTAGAAGCCAAAGTGCTGAATCCTGTGAAAGATGCCAGAAGAATAGCCTGTTGTCTGTGGAAGTCATGGAGATTGCAGCTTTAAGCTCCATGGCAACCTCAGCTCAATTAAAAATGCCAAATAGTATTTTTTTTATTTTTATTTTAGGTCTTCATGAGTCTTCTCTCAAATGGGAGAGTATCCTAGCTGCACATGGCAGTATGTGTTGGGTAGAAGGAAAATCTTACTTATAAGCAGATCAAGAGCTTTTCTTCTCTGCTTCTTTAAGTCCTTGAGGAATTGAGTTTCCTTGAGCTCCTTCATTTTTGCCTTCCCCATGTGGCAGCTTTTCTGAATGTGAAATCCCTCTGTAATAAGGCATCAGGGTTTTCTTTATATGTTGTGGGACAAATTGGGACACTTATCTGATACATTGCCTATCTTCTTTCCTCTGCTGCATAGAGGAAAGAGTCTGTCAGAACTGATGCATATGCTAAAGGGTGTCCTCCTCTTTCTGTACGCAAGGTACTGGGAGTGTTTAAAGAGCTTGTTCCTACCTAAGAGTTTGCAGGGGAGCCGCAGCACTCTGACTGCACTGGCAAGTTGCTTAGCATGGTTGGTATGCAAAAAGTCAACAATTGTCCAAGATTCTTCTGGTCACTTACTGGTATGAGACATGGATCACACTGGCACAGAAAGCTCCACAAGCTTTGCTAAACACTACTTGAACAAACCCAATCCTGCTTCAGCCTACAGAGGCCTCATAGTGGAATATAATGTGAGGCAAACCTGAAATTGGGGGACAAGGACTGATTAATCTTTCAGAAAAATTCCATACCTTAGGGTAAGTAACTTCCTTTCTCCACCCTTCCATGTTTTTTCTATGGCATAAAGAAATTCCAAATATGTGGAGCATAAATAGCTTTGTAACTAAAGTAGCTGTCACTTGGAACCATGAAGGTGACCAGATTTGTCGAGTGTTCTACTCATGCTTTCATTTTCATGACTCCCTGTCCACCAGGGAGTGTGGCTGCTTTATCATGCTGTCCAAAAATGGCTATTGTATCACAAAGGACTGACCACCAGCTGCTACCAAGTCCTCTTTGTTCCCATTCCTTTCAATCATCTGTACCTTTCCCAGCCATCCCCTGGATGTCAGCCTCACATTGGAACACACCAGCAAAGTGTCATTCTATGCACAAACAGCCTTTCTACTGCTGGATTGAGACAGTGTTTTTGCCAATTCTATGCTGGCTCTGCTTCCCTGACAGGGTGCCCATCTGTGGAGAAGTCTGTATGGACAGTTACTGCCATCACCTTGTATCTCATGGAATCTATTATAAACAACAGGCATCATGAAGAGACAACCCACTGAACAAAGCATGGCACTGTGCGCCTTTGCTAACCTGTATTCTCTTTCCCAGACATCCTTGTTAGGTTCAGTATGAGGTCCCCTGTAAAGTTAAGGTAGGGGGTCCCAGCTATTTATATGCCCCACTCTACTTCATCAATCTGACTGGAAGCATGTGGGCCCCATTGCTCTTGGCACGTGTTCTGGCTGCTTCGGCAGGCATATACTGAGCAGAGAGAGTGCCAGCCTCTTATCCCAGCTCTGCCAACTGGTAGTGAAAAGCCAGAGTGAGTGGGCAGAGCTGCCAAAGGAAAGAGGGAAAGGAAATGTTCTTTCTTGCTGCAAACCAGAAGGTTTTGCTGGCATGGCATACAAACACTGCCATGTGGTGTTCAATTGCCTTGGCATAATTCATAGGTTATGCTGTGCAGTCTGAAGTACTGGGATAAACCATTCTAATGATAGGCCAGATTCTATTTTATTTTAGTGTAATGCAGCTGATTAGCACTCCTAAATATACCTGAATCTACAGTGTGTGTGAGGCTATCCCTGGTATCTGAATAAGATCTGGACAGTAGGCCTCAAAGTACCATGGGTGGCAGGCTGTCTATTTCAGATAGAGAAACAGTCCACTTTTTAGTTGAAATGGTTGTGGAAAGTGATCAAAAATTGATATCTTTTTGTTACAATACTTGGAATGCATGTGCTAGGAATAGTTGTGAAACGAGTAGAAATCTTAGATCCCATGAAAAGAAACATCATTACAGTGTATAGTCCCCCCTCCTGTAAGGATAGAAGTCAAATTCATTTATCCTTTACTGCATTTTCTAGTGCCTCATTCAGTTAAGTTCTAAAACTGAAAGCCGTTGGAAAGCTACCAAAGCCTTTAGGAGATTGTTCCACAGGTCAGTAGATTCCACTATAAATAAGCTCCCTTACTCATCAATATTCACTTCACCTATAGGTTAGCAAATAAATTAGGCACAAAGAATAAAGGGGCAGCCAGTCGCATTTCTTTTGTAGGACAATGTTAATCTCAGTCATGAAGCTGTGGCTTGCTCAGTGCTGAATTTTACTCAAAACATTCTTTAGTTTGGGGTGCCCAAGGTGGCCTGCAGTCAGAGCAGGCTATGTCAGTCACTGATCCTGGAGTACATGTGTGAGCTTGTTATTAACTCATTGGCCTAGCACAGGACAGTGCCTCTATTCTGTGCACCTCTCCTCCTTATCCAGTTGGTTTCCAGTAATAAATCCAGCTAGTATTAGCTTTTCCTTTTACACCAGGGGCAGGCAAATTGTGGCCTGCGGGCCAGGTCTGGCCTGTCAGGCCATTCTATCCAGCCTGTGGGACCCCTAAAAAAATTTAGAAAATTAATATTTATCTGCTCCTGGCTGCCTGTCAAAAATGACAAGACAGGGGCAATAGGACCCAGGGAGAGCCATCAGGAGCCAGGAACAAGGCCGGTCCAGCCCTGCCCCATCCCCAGCCTGCTGGAACATACAAGACCCAGGGAGCCAAGCAGGAGCGTGGGTACTGCTGGGATGTCCCAAAGCCTGGTGGATTCCCGGGTTTGTGGCCCCAACTATTGACACAGACATCAGGAAGACAGGAGAGAGGAACCTGTGGTAGCAGATGCTCA